AATTAACAACAACAAATGTGTAACCCATCTGTCGGTGTTACTTGTTTATGCAAGGGTACTTTTTAAAGTTCACAAACAAATAGAATTATAACGTAGGTTTGTTTGGGGAAACAATTTTGAAAACTATCTATACAACAGATCTACAGAAAGCTTATACAAAACACATATTAGGAAAAACACCTGGATTTCCAAAACATATTCCGTTTTCCACGATTTTTTTTAAAGTACCTTGGCATATTGAGAAATATAATAGGCTAAAATGTCAAAACTGTACTTAATTTTCTTTTATACCCAAAGCACACATGATTAAAACATCTGTACTAGAAACATTGTCTTGTAATAATCATAAATTACCAAACCCTCCCACCCTCACACACACACACACACACACACAAACCAGCAAGTGAGTGCTGGTATTTGAATCCTTGAAAATATTGAGGGCCTCATTGGAAGCCTATCATTGCAATTTCTTTTGTACCTTGAGTTGTTTTCACTCCATCCAAGTATTTTGAAATATCCCACCTAAAACAAGTCAGAAACAACACAGAGCTGCTGCGCCTGGAATGACATTAAAATAGGACAGACAACACTGAGCTCTTGCGGTAGCAGGGACTCCAATGATCAACGCAATCTCCGGCCCCTAAAGCCAATTCAGTCTTGTGGCCTTTGTGTCATCAGCTTGCTTCTCCAGGGAGCCAGCCCCCTCTGAAAGGTGAGAAGTATGGTGGGCAAACACAATGACAAAACTCTCACGGGCTAGGCAGAGAAGCTGGGAAACACGTAATAGCACTTGGTGATGGACTCCAGGACGGTCCTGTGGAAGCTACAGTTTGACCCTGAGCACCAAGAGCTCTCACCTCTCCCAGCGTAAAAGGCAGGAAGAGGCCATTGGCTGTCAACAGTGCTGCTGTTTCACCCTCTTGAATTCCAAGTCAGCTCCCCCTCCTAACTCAGGACGATCTATAAACTCTGATGCCGAGGTCCATTGTGGAAATGTGGCAAGTCTGGGCTGCTGCGCGGAGACTCCAGCCTGCCGAGGAGCTCAGCGCGGGGGAGCAGCGCGCTTTCACTGTTGGGAGAGGGAAATAATAGGTGTCTCTAGCAGGTTTTAATATGATCTTAAAATAGGGGAAAAGTTTTCTGTTATGACATTGACATAGTGGCGATGATTTGGAGTAATGCAGGATGATGTGGTGATGTTTTAAGATTAAATAAGAGCTATATAAAGGCTTGTCAGAATGAATTCTAATGTGCCATGAGACACTTTGCATACTCTTAAATATGCAAAATGTCTCTTGGCACCCTAGAATGCATTCTGACAAGCCTTTATATAGCTCTTATTTAAGCTCCTATTTTATTTTTAGGGACCAGGTACTCACAGATACTCTTTGAATGGAAGCAACAAAGGGCAGTGTTTATTGATTTGATTCGTGAGTGAGGGAAAAAGAAGCACAGTACGAAAGAGCAGTCAAAAGTGGAAGCTTGTTTAATATTGCTCTACCATCATCCTGAAAGGCATAATAATTTGAGTTACACATCTGAACTGATTGGAGTTACAGAATCATATCTCCTTTTTGCATTTAACAATATATACAATATAAAATAAATACATTTACACAAATGGACATTTGCTGGAGCACACAGTATGGTACACATCACAAAAATATACAATTGATTGCTTTACAGATGTGAAGCCCATCTACAGCTATAGACATGGTTTTATTATTATCATTATCATTATTATTATTTTACTACTGGCTATAATGCAACTCCTGGATTATTATAAGCAGTTTAATTTTTTTTGTCCTTTTACGATCTTTGCACATAAGTCTGCCATAAAGTGTTTTCCTAGGCAGGTAAACAGAGACGCTTAAATAATTAAAATACAATCACCAACACCCATTTTCTCTTCTATAAGAAAAATAGCAGTTTTAAATTTTTTATATCATTTATGTTATCATTTAAATGCAAAATAGCGGAATAAATACAACAATCTGATCCGATTGAAACACGGGTGTTACTACGAAGAGTCACCCACAATCATATTGCTTTAAATAAGAATAAATCTAAAAGAAGCTCAATAAAAACTAAAATTATACGGCTAAAACATACACCTTATAACTTTGCAAAACTTCACATTAAGTAAATGGTCTTGCTTAAAACTTGATGAAGTACCCTCCGGCGAGGTTCTAAGATGCGCACCTCACCCTAAAGCCTGTGCTCTGAGATCTGTGTTTTCATTTTGATTCCTATTTCTGAGACACTTGTTCTTTTGTAATGCAGAATGTCAATTCAACTGAAAACTCATAACCGCATCTCATCTCCAGCTCAAGTTTGCAGCTGGCTGGCTCACAACTGTGAAGGCCAAGTACTTGAATGTGATACAGTGAAAACAACGTACCTATCGTACATAGTTCGTGTGTACTAGTGTGGCTGAACACTAGCAAATTAAACCCTGCGCAACGTTCCGGAAAATAATCTTTTTAAACACCTACATATATAAATAATCTTATAGAATCAGCACCTTTTTTACCCAGGAGTTGTATTTTCTGTTGTTCTTGGTAAAGGGATGTGCCAATTTCTGAACTCCTATCACAGCTATAAATTTCAAGTTATTGACCATCTGAATGAATTGCTAATGATGATTTATCTAGAATCACACTACAGTCACTTCTCTACTGAGAAACCACAATCTACAATATAGTCCCATATAGCTAATGATAGATACACAGTATTCCTAGCACTGGGATGATGAAAGATCAACCCAAGGTATTTTGTTTAAAGCACACAATGTAGCAATAGTTTTGGAAACGAGTCCGCACCAAAAAGTTTTTGCAACAACACAGAGCGAGTTAATACCAACATCTGAGAGATGATTGAGTGAAAGCCATATATACAGCATTTAAAAATTAGACTCATCTATATTCTTGAAATATTCAAAGTTTTATTTCTAAGCTATACATTGGTATTCTATAATAAACCATTAGAGAAATTATTCCGTGTTTTGAAAATATTATTATGATTTTGATGTGTATCTGTTCATAATGAATACTTGTTTGGAGTTTCAATCTCTTAATTATTATGAGGAAGAACCTTATTACTGGTAAGGATTAGAGTATACTACCGTAGTCTCCTGAGGAATTATACATCCAATGTTGTCTCTAATTCTACCCTGTGTCTAAAAGCACACGCCACAAGAATCCAAACACCACAAGAACAAGACAACAGTCTTTGAATGCAACATAAAATTCAGAAAAAGCACAGCAAACATGAAACATTGAAAAGCTGAACTACATTTCTTTTGTTTGTTAGGATTACAATTTTAATTACATCTGTGTACATAGAATAAGACTGTTCACATAGTACAGGGAGCAGCTACTAACACTGGTCCATTGGTATAGCATTGGATGGAGGTTACTGTCTATTGGCTATTCAGCGACTATGGATTTCGGGGGCATCTAATTAAATTCTTCATTAGATTACACCTCGATAGTCTGAAACCTGACTCACTTTCATGCTGTGACAACATGGGTGGAAAAAGCACATTGGCTTAGCTCTTGGTAAAAACCACAGATTAATTTAGATAAACATTCTTAAATTCATAAACTCACATGGATCAGGTTTTAGAATTTGGTCAGGCATCTGCTGCCTTTGATAATTAAAAAAAAAAAAAGAACAATCTGGCATTCGCCTTATTGCCTCTTCAATGAATACTGGCTCACAGCTCCTTCTGAGACAAGGTTTGCAACTTTGCAAACGGGCAGAGTCTCGCTCCTAACCACCGAGGCAGCTAGAAATCATATGGCAACTGTACCTCCCACCCGGAGAGGTACATTCATGATAACTCTATGGATCATGTTCGACGTGCAGTGCTTATAGGCGTGACTACGCCGAGTCACTGCAGGTGTAATCTAATTCTTTATGTCAGTGAACATTTAGGGAAACTGGAGCTCATGTTAAGAAACTGATGTTTGGGACCAGACTGGCACACAACATAAATTGCATCCGTGATAATATGCACCTTCCCTTCGACTATTGCTTGAGTAAGTTAAATTCCCATATTAATAAATGGCTGAAAAGTGGTAAAGCTGGTACAAAAAAATCTCCATTTGTAAGAAGAAACGAAACATTTTTAAAAATCTTCCTTCAGGATTCATTTGTCCTTCATCATTGTTCATAATTGTTCAAAGCCAGCACAAAATTGCAGTATTCTTATTTCTCTTTAGTATTGCATGAATGAATAAAGCTTAAACTATTCCCTGAAAAAGTTACATAGTAGCTAAACTAACAAATACCTGGAAGACTTGAAAAAACAATTAAGGAATCAAATGGCTGTAACTGATCAGGATGGAAAAGCAATGATAAACAGCAGCCGATGCAACGTGGCTTAGGTTGTCTAATCAGAGGCTGCTCCCGTGAAACCTAATACTGCACTCAGTCAATTCGTTTGCATCGCATGATACTTCTAGGTGCACTGGTTCTCTCGCTTTGATTCCTCAGTCATTGGGAACGTTGTATTTCACGCTAAGTTCACTGGCAACCACACAATGGATCTCCATCCTTTGGCAGGGCTGGCTTCCACCACTCTTCAGTTAGAGACCTCTTCTAAAAGTTCAGCAGCAGAAGGACGGACAGGAAAAGAGAGGGAAGGGAATGGGAGCAAAAGGGAACAGGAGAAGGGAGGAAATTACTTTAGCCATTAGAACTACTTAAAGTTTACAAGAAAAAGGGGAAAAGGAGAAGAAGGAAGGAAGAATAGAGAGAGAGAGAAGGAGGAAGGGAAGGAGAGAGGAAAGAGGAGAAAGAAGAATGAAGGAAATGAGGGAAAGAAGAAACCATTCATGTAGGAAGCCATGAAATATGAAGAGGGGGGAAGAAGTGAGGGAGACAAAAATACAGAGGAAGGGAAATGAGAGAAAGGAGGAAGATGAGGGAGGAAGTGGAACTTGTCAGGAAAATACAGAGGAATCTGAAGGCTGCTTCACAGTCTTGCTGCTAAAATATCAGTGCAGTCTCGGTTGATTTTTGATGTTGGTATCTAATCTACGTTTCTTCGACATCACTCTTGGGTTTGTTTTCCCTTTTTCTGATGTGCAGGACGGGAAGGCCCAGGGAGCCTTTAGTCAGACCTTGGCCTCCAGCATTTCCAAAAAAAGTTTGTGCATGGGGACTTTGCCTTCGAGTTTGATGTTGTAGAAGTGCTGCACGGCCTTGGTGGATGTCTGCCTGAGCAGTGGCAGGGTCATCAGCATCTTGCCCGCCCGGCGTGGGTCTTCCATGTGCTGGCCAGCCTCATAATCCTGCAGGGCCTCGTGCAAGACATCCTGAAGCTTCTGCACGGCCTCTACATCTTCTATATGCATGGAGTCTGCACAACGAAGCAAAAAACCCAAGAGATCACATTAGTAGCCATCAGCGGATGTAGGTTACAGTTACAAAAGTTAAGTCAAAAGCTCAAGATTTCTCCAATTCCAAATCACCCTACAGGCAATTTCAAATATTAGTTCAGAATGTGAGAATGACTTATTATTGAAAACTTGAAGGTTTTTTTACCTCCCACACTGGGCATCAAAAAGCTTTCTTTTAACAGATAATAATCTTGGATATTTTATTCTTTCCCTCACTCACGAATTTATTCATTCCCTCAATAAACAATGGTGGAAGACCATCTATTCAAAGCACTATTCTAAGAGCTATATGAAGTGAAGTTGTTCAAACTTCTGAACTTGGGGCAAGCATTTGACACAGTGGTTAATGTACCAGCTGAGATTCTTACATCCCATATTGCAGTGCCCATGTTTCTGCCCACGCAGCTTCCTATTATCGCTACCCCCTGGATGGTAGCAGATGACGGATGAAGTGCCGGTGTCCCAGTCACCGCCTTGGGAGACCTGGGTCAGGTTCTGGGCTCCTGGCTCAGCCTGGCCCACCAAAGCTGTTGCAAGAAAGTGCAGGGTAAGTGAGCAGATGGAAAACCTCTGCCGCTCTTTCAAATAAAGACAAGTTAAACGAAGTACAGAGAAGGGGGGCATTCAGGGTGGACCATCACTCGGATGCTCATATCCCATCTCAGAGTTCCTAGAATCCCATTTCCTGCTACTGCTGATCTGGCTCTCGCTAAATATTCACTCTGGGAGGCAGCAAATGATGGGTCAAGTGTCTGATTCCCTGCACCTACGTGGAAGATGGATTCAACCTGATCCAGCCCAGCTCTGGCTTGGTGAACATTTGGGAGAGACCCAGCAGCTAGAAAGATCTCTCCCCCACTTCTTCCTGGCTGCTATGTCTTTTGAATGAGTAAACATTAATAAAAACTTTAAAATTAAGTTTTAAACCTTCAGTAAATTAAATTTGAACCTCGCTTGACATTTTTCTCAAAGGAAAAAAAAATATTGGTGACTATAAGCTTAAGCAGTCCACATCAACATGTTGAATCCAATATCAAATGAAAAACAAAATAGATAGATTACGTTTTTAGGATGTTTTTTAGGATCTTTAATCTTAAAATCCTACACAACATTCATTAAAGCTTGGCTGCATGGTCAACTTTCCTGCTAAAAAAGCAAATGGTCTTTCAAAATTATTCAGCACTGAAACATATTTCACGTTTGTGAAAGTGAACTTTGCCCTTCCACAGGGATTCCGAAAAATTAATCCAGTCAAGTGAAGAAAGGGTTAACAAGGTTACCACAATTATTCTTGTGAGAAATGCGAGATGTGCAGAAAAAAATAAAAGTTACAGCTCTAGCTCTAAAACAGACACTTAATTATATACAAGTTTGAATCATTTAGCACGTTTTATTGATTCTGATGACAGTTTATCTGTTAATTACACATAATGGAGTCTTTGGGGGATTCTTCATGTTTAATAATTCTAGCTCTCCGTGAATGCTGAGCGCTAAGATATATGTAGTTAGCCTAATCTTCTACACAATTCAAATATACATCACATGAACCAAAAGAGATGAACACAATTTAAAATCTATTGGCTAAACATGCAAAAGCAATGATAAAGCAGCTGAAAGACCAATGCATTTAACCACTAACATGTTTTTTAAAACTTCACATTTTCTTTTTTTTTGCCTTCATATTATCATTTGGGATAGTTCACCACATTGTTGGTGAAAAAACACTACAGATGTTCACATTTCTTCAAAATCATTTTGAATAAACTGGACTCGAGCTGCCTGCAAGTAGTTACTGTTCAAGATTTAATTCCTGTGTATTAAAAACCAAAAATGTTGGGGCCCGGCGCGGTGGCGCAAGTGGTTAAAGGTCCTCGCCTTGCACGCCCGGGATCCCATATGGGCGCCGGTTCTAATCCCGGCAGCCCCGCTTCCCTTCCAGCTCCCTGCCTGTGGCCTGGGAAAGCAGTCGAGGACAGCCCAAAGCTTTGGGAACCTGCACCCGCGTGGGAGACCCGGAAGAGGCTCCTGGTTTCGGATCGGCATAGCATCGGCCCGTTGCGCTCACTTGGGGAGTGAATCATCGGACGGAAGATCTTCCTCTCTGTCTCTCCTCTCTGTATATCCGCCTTTCCAATGAAAAAATAATAAAAAATAAATCTTTAAAAAAAAAAAAAAAAAAAAAAAAAAAAACCAAAAATGTTAAAGGCCGTAGCATTGATACCAGTGCCCTGGAGTAGAGTGAAGGCATCCCGGGATACACCCGGCCTGGCCCTGTGGACAGCCCCTGCCCCTGCCTCCCTCCAGCCTGGCGCCCTTCCACACCGTCAGCTTGCCTACTTTCATATTCACACATGCTGTCTGCTGCCGTGTGCACGGATCGACAAGCAGCTGTGGAAATTACAACATGCTCTGATAATATCTTTTTATTTATTTTAAATGTCACTACACACTCACTATACTAATTTATATATGTATTATGTAGTTACATAAAAGTTTTATTTGTGTGTTCTATTTATACTAAACATATTTATATACCTATATGTCATATATGTATATATATATATTACATATACACATTCAGCCCTGGCCAGTTTATTCCCTCCTTCTCTCTCTCATCTGTGGAAACTTCGTCTGTATTTCCCACAGGGCTCTTAACTAGCTGAGCCGTACCCTGTTGTCTGCGAGGGTTCACACATTAGCAGGAAGCTGGATTCAAAAGCCAACGCTTCAACCTACATACCCCAAAACAGGATGTGGGAGTCCCAAGTGGCTACGCCTGAACCTAATACGCACCCCTCTTCTTCTGTAATTTTGTGCTTAAATGCTGCCTGCCTCACAGAAAACTGGGAGGAAAGGAGACACATGAGTTGGGAGACTCTAGATCCACCAAAGGTTGCAGCAATGATCCTGTGCACAGGAAACGGAGATGGACTGGTCTTAACCAACCTACCTGGGACTGTGTTAGCTTTCTATATTAACACAGGGGAATAGATGGATGGGAAAAAAAATGGTAATTCTTTAGAGACACAATGAAATTAAAACAATTATTTTCTAGCTAGACTCCAAAAGAAGCAGAAATTTTAAAACCTCACTTTATCATTGGTAAACACTTCTTTCAGGTGAACATTGCCTCATGTCATGCCCCAGGACCCTGTACACCAAGTGGCTAAGTTTCACTGGATCCAGTTATGCTGCTGGAAAGTTCAACATTCCCTGCCCATGGCAGTTCCTGAAAACACAGAGCTGACCCTGTGCTTGGAGCTCATCACCTCGGAGCCTGCACCCTCATCACAAACGACCCTACCATATTCCTAACGAGGACATTGCTCTTTGCATACAGAAAACGGATTATTTACAGGGACTGTCTTCTTCATACTCCTCCATACTTCTTCATACTTCAAGCTTCATCCTTCGGTTTTCGTTCTAACCACCAGAGCAATGCAGAATAAATTTCCTTTTTCCTACATGGCATACCTTTAAATGTTCGCAGTCACAGTGAGCCCAGCCCTCACCCGAAGCCTTGCCTTGCCCACTGCTGTGCCCAGCAGGAGATATATCACAGGATGTTGTAGGAAATGAGGCGGGAACACAGAGCAGAGAGATAGGCTCACAAACAGCAATTAAGACTTCAAACTATTCTTTAAAGGCTGTGATTTAGCTTGAGAGATCTAAAAATGATTTAATCAAATTACTGTGATAATTTAACTTCCCATTTGCAGAAAAAGATTCTAACTCATTTCAGCTTTAACCATTCTAAGATCTGCTAATACTTTAAATGCAAACTCACTAAATCTGAACTATTTAATTAGACTGTGATTCAGCTGCCAAACTACTGAAGAAAATATTAATCTCCATTAGGGATCCTAGTTCAAGTTCTGGCTCTTTGGCTTTAATTTCTGTTCTGTTCTTTGGGCTAAATTCAGATATTGATGCCAAGCTCACCAGAACTGGCAGTGGTATTAATTTATGTATTTAGATTTGGGGTATTCGTGATAGTTTCCTTTGAACTAAAAGTGAAAAGAAACAGTCTCTATATCTGTGCTAATGAAAGCCACCCAAACTTAATCATAGCGACCATGTGTTTATGAGCTAACTGTATAGGGCCATGTTACATAGTGCAAACACTGAGTGAGCTTCGAAAAGCTTTCTAAACCTCGGTCCAATCCCAGACCTATTAAATCCAAATCTATTGTATTTATTCGAAAGACAAAGTGGTGGCCAAAGAGGGAGAGACAGAGAAATCTTCCACCTGCTGGTTCACTCCCCAAATGGCCCTAATAGTCTGGTCTGAGTCAGGCAATAGCCAGGAGCTTACATCTCCAGCGAGTACTCTCACACGTGTGGTAGGGATCCAAGTCCTTCAACTACCTTGGGCGGCCTTCCCAGGCACACTTGGGGAACCTCACAGAAAGCAGATCAGCAAGACATAAAACCAATGCTCCAATATGGGATACCAGCAGAGCAGGCGCAACTCACTCCACTGCACCACTGCACCGGCTCCAGGATCAGCAACTTTACAAATCTAGGTGATTCTAACACAAAGCTTGGGTTGGGAGCTACTGATCTGGACAAGAAAGAAAACAAAGCCATCCTAAAAGAATGAAAAGTCTCAAAAGATAAAGTGCACATTACACAAATATTTATACTTATCCAACATTTAATGATAACACTGAACTCTTTTTTAAAATCTTTAACATTTCACATGAACATATCTAAAAGAAATGTATCCAGTTCAGATCATTTACTGAGCAAAGATGATTAAATAGCTTTATGCCAGCAGCTGTAAAATGTAAAAGTACTTAAAGCCATTGCAAATGATTTCATTTTTATATCTTACCTAGAATAAAGTAATGCTTTTCCCTATGGTAAACATGTTACCCTTTGGGGGCATAGGCAGAGCTATTCCAGCATGCCCACGTCTTTTTTTTTTCCAAGATTTATTTTTATTAGAAAGTCAGAT